GACCCAAGAGTTGGTCTTCTGGGATCGTCTGGCTGAGCCAGCCATACTCCTAACTTGCAATAACTCAGTACAGCCTTCGTTTCCCCCATCTGCTGGAGCTGCTCATCTCCAATGTTGCTGCATGAAATCTGTCTGTCATACACTCTGTCATTTTCTCAGCAGACAGGCCACTCTTACACTTTCGTGACGTTCAGACATAACAGTTGTCTCCCCCCGACACACACAGCTGCTGACATGTTTTGCTTTCGAGGAAAGCTGACATGAGAAACAGAAAAAACTGATGTCTTAAAAATGAAGAGAAAACGGGCAGCCCCTTGGTCTTTCTCTTCCTTCCATCTGTGTGATCCTCACAATGAGGTAGAACATGATCAGAACCTGCAAGTCAGAGTATGTCCTGTAAAGCAAGTGGAAATATTAAGTAATTCAAATTCTCTTTGTTGTTGTTACTTAAGGAGAAAATGCAACACCATGAATAAGCAAAGGCAACAAGGAAGTTTGTCCCTGACATCATCGCCTGGGACTCACCCCCCTGCATTCTGAGCACCAGACAGATGGCCAGATGAAGCTGCCTACTGGAAACACACAGTCTGAATGAGCTGGTGAAAGTCATTAGTTGCTGTGCTGGAAGTTTCTCCTGAGAGACTCAGTCAGTGAATCCCTTATGCTCAGCTCAGAAATATTGGACGTACAAGTGTTGTCAAGTTTCAGAAAAAATTGAACCATGGGGGATCCTGGGTGGCTCAGTTGGTTGAGGATCTGATTCTTACTCTAACTTCAGATCTTGATGTCATACTGTGAGTTCAAGCACCATGTTAGGGTCCACCCTGTGTCTGGAGCTTACTTAAAAAAAATGAAAAACCAGAAAATTAAGCACTGTGGTGGTACAATAAATGTATTCTCTTATTCAAGGTGAAAGGATTATAAATGGTCTTTCCTCTACTTGGAGAACACAATCGAACACCCTCAGCATCTGAGGGATGTTGACCCTTTTGATACCTGGGCAGGGAGGAGTAGGTGAGCACTGAGAGGGTCCTGGACGCAAACACTCCAGGGGCAAAGGCAAGGGCAAGGATCCAGGGGCATTAAGTGCTTTGCTAACAAGGAAACCAGCCCCTGCAGAGTAGGGGAATGTAGAGTCCTCCGGACATGGTGAGCCTGTCCTCAGGGATGAGACCAAGAGAGCCCAAATGCAGGACACTCAGTCACTGCAGAGGAAAGAGGTTAGTAGAGGTGATAACTACCTAGTCAGTGAGGTGCTGCTGGGAAAATCCAGTCATCTGGAAATAGAACCTTGACACCTCCTCTTCCCAGAAGGGAACCAGGATTCCTACTGGAGGCATTTGCAATGCCTTGGAACGCTCTAACAAAACCATTTTATTTATTGTCGTTCACTGGTTTTAGTGGATATTACATAAGGAACAATGGCACAGAATTCTTGGAGGTAACAAACTGTCTGCAAGGTCAGTGTGACAAATCTCAGGATAACAGGAATCCCTTAGGATTGGAGGAGTTTCTCTCCATCATTTCCTGGGTCTCAGAGTCTTAACTGGACAGGTGATCTTTCTTACTCGTGAGCTGCCAGTGGTGTCTTGCGGCCATTGCTGATGTCTGAGGCCTGTTGTGATGCAGGCTTTGAAAATGAAAACACAAATACATTAAATTTTATGGTTTAGCTCTACAAAACTCATTCAACACCTCAGTAGTTAACTAGTGTTAAACAGAAAAAAACTTTTTGACAATACCTTCCAGAGTACGTAGTAGCAGGTGAAGATAAAGATGACGTTGTCGTGGTGCTTGGGTGCCTCAGTCAGTTGGGCAGCTGCTTTCCACTCAGGTCATGATCCCTGGGTGCTGGGATGGAGATTTGCATCAGGCTCCCTGCTCATTGGGAGCCTGATTCTCCCTCATTGTCTGCCTGGTGCTCTGTCTCCTTGTACTCTCTCAGTATCTATCTCTCTGTCAAATAAATAAATAAAAATTATAAAAAAATGATTCTGTCATATGAGGTAACATTCAAATTCCATACACTGAAAACCCATGTTAAGTATATAATTCCAGTTTTCACTTGCATTGAGTAATCTGGAATGATTGGAAATGTTCAGGTAGAGCGAAATCATTATGTCCTTTTAGAAATTGTTAATTTGCATATGTACTCCATATACTACACTGTATACATGTAAAGAAATTATAAGTCACTCATCAAGTTTACTTATATACATAAGCATCAATAGCTTTAAAATATAACTATTAGCTTAAAATTTTTAGTCATTCTGGACCCTGATTTGGATAAACGTTACACTCTTTTTTTTTTTTTAATCTTAAAGCACAGACAAAAATACAATATATAATGACATATACTGTGTCTCCCTGCTATTAAGTTTTCTAGGAAGTTTCAATTTAAAAACATCCAAAAAGATTCTGGAGGCAAGGATAATACTTAAAGAAAACAATACATGGTTGAAAAATCCATGCTCCAAACTCAAGTAGAAAGTGTAGAAAGGAAAGCAAAAAGAGAAGTAGAAAGTAAGGGAAACGTTCAGAAATTGAAAAACTCTTTTGTCCCCTATTTAAGCCTCATGCACAAGAGAAGATGTTCAGAGAAGCTAGAGCCACGGGTCCCAGACATGCCCACCTCAGCGAGGCCAACAACATCTGTAGGTTCCCCCATGGCCCTGCCCTGCTCCTTCTTGGTGCTCCTGGTGGTGCTCACTTGCCACTCCCTCGGCTCTCTGGGATGTGACCTGCCTCAGGACCACGGCCTGGTGCCCTGGAGGGCCTTGATGCTCCTGCAACGAATGAAGAGACTGTCTGCTAGCTCCTGTGACAACTACACAAACGACTTTGGCTTCCCCCAGGAGGCGTTTGATGGCAAGCAGCTGCAGAAGGCTCAAGCCCTCTCTGTCATCCATGTGATGAACCAGAAGACCTTCCACCTCTTCTGCACAGAGGCCTCACCTGCTCCTTTGAACACGACACTCCTGGAGGAATTGTGCTCGGGACTTTCTGAGCAGCTGGGCCGCCTGGAAGCCTGTCCCCTGCAGGAGGCGGGGGTGGGAGAGACGCCCTTCGTGAATGGGGACTCCATCTTGAGGAACTACTTCCAGAGAATCTCCCTCTATCTGCAAGAGAAGCAATACAGCCCTTGTGCCTGGGAGATGGTCCGAGCAGAGATCATGAAACCCTTGTATGCATCAACAGCCTTGCATAAGAGATTGCGGAGCAGGAAGGGACACCCCTTTCAACGTGGAAATGGTTCTCTCTGAATAACAATATCACACTCCCATGTGTCTGTAGTGTCAAAGACTCTCATTTCTGCTGCCATCATGACATGAACTGAATCAATTTGTCACATGTATTCAGGAGTATTAGGCAACTTGAACTCAACGTTACAAACACCTGTTGCTTTCAGATGACCATGCTGATCTGCCTATTTAGCTATTTATTTATTTCACTATTTATAAGATTTGTTATTTTTTTATTGTATTATATTAGTTGTACCTACCCTTTGTGGTTAAGAGAATTGTATATGTTTTACGCATATTAAATTCTTTATTTTCTGTTCATTAAATGTTTCTATAGAAAACTTCTTGTGTTTGTTTCTTATTGAAGCAGGAAACAAGTCTGATTATAACCTAATGAAAGAACAGACTGTACAACTCACTCACTCGTTATTTCATTTTCACATTAGAAGTAATCGCATCGACTCCCTGGAAGTCACTTTGCATGCTGTCTTCACGGAAAAGGCAGACTTCACAAGTCCAATGATGTGTCGGTATCTTGGATTTTGTAGAAAATCTAACCTCAGAACAAAAATCATAGTGAAGTAATATCAGTTATGTTAAAGGGAAGTGTGCGAAGAAGGGAAAATATGAATTCTGTAAGTAGAAAAGGAAGCAGACATGTCAGGAAATGAAAGGAAAAGCATCAGATACATTCTACATCACAATGGTAGACACACAAGTGCGATTATTCTTTATGGAATGGATTGTTCAGGGGCACCCGAGTGGCTCAGTTGGTTAAGTGTCTGCCTTTGGCTCAGGTCATGATGTCGGGGTCCTGGATCCAAGCCTTGTGTCGAGCTCCCTGTTCAGCTGGGAGTCTGCTTCTCCCTCTCACACTCCCCTTGTTTGTGCTCGATGTCTCTCTGTGTCATATAAATAAATAAAATCCTTAAAAAAAATAAAACAAAACAAATCAAAACAAACAAAATGGATCCTAGGTGCTGCCATTTACAAGCCATTCCATTCACGTAAAGCCCAGGAGCTAAGTGGTTCCCTGGGAGGAGAGCGTAGAATGAGAAATGGTGCCTCAAGCCTCCCCTGATTAAGGGAGAAAAGAACCACACTGCAAACAAAGGTCGAATGTCCCTAAGGCAGTAGCATAAGAGCGAATATTGGTTAAGAGTCTATTTCAAAGCTGAGAAAGTCTTCAAGGAATGACATCATTGCAAAGGGTGCATGGAAAGGGTCCACAAATCTGGGAAGTAGAAGGGTTATGACCACGGGGACCAGCTGTTTTTTTTGTTTTGTTTTGTTTTAAGATTTTATTGATTTATTTTGACAGACAGAGATCACAAATAGGCAGAGAAGCAGAGAGAGAGAGAGAGAGAGAGAGAGAGAGAGAGGAGGAGGAAGCAGGCTCTCCACCGAGCAGAGAGCCCGATGTGGGGCTCGATCCCAGGATCCTGGAATCATGACCTGAGCCGAAGGCAGAGGCTTTAACCCACTGAGCCACCCAGGTGCCCCGGGACCAGCTGTTTTGACTGAATCACTCACCAGAAACCATACTGGTGGCGGAGGAAAGGCGAGGAACAGAACAGAAGCTAGTGACTATAGATAGAATATAGATCTGGGAAATTTACCTTCTTTGGGCTAATTAAACATCCATGAAAAAATGAAAAAATAATTGAAATGGGTGATGCCTTCTAATGTCTTTTAATCCATGTAAAGCATATATAAAGAAAAGCAAACAAAAATGAAAAGGCATGAAAAGGGTACTGGAACATTCTGCAAATGGAAACTACCCTGTTCTATTGAAGACTCATGAATAGAAAGAACTGAAGATGAATTGGGGGCCAAGGCACCCCCCACTGTTCCACCAGGCCACCAGAAGCCCTCAGGTACAGTGCCCATCCCCTCTGCTGGGCTCCTACTGGTTCCCCAAGTCAGATCTCAGCTCTGGGCTGTGAGCTGCCTCCTGGCCCCGGGCACCTTCACAGGTGGGCCTGCTGCTTCTGACACAAAGGAGGAGCATCAGTCCCTTCTCCTGAACCAGGGACACCTCCTCTGGGACAAGGTGCGTGGCTGCCAGTACCAGGAGGTCCACGCCAAGTCTGTCCTCCACAAGATGCTGCAGCTGACCTTCACCCTCTTCCTCACTGGGCGCCACTGTTTGCTGCCTGAACCCATCCCTGCTGGGGCAGCCAGAACCCTGGAAACCTGTGTGGGACCTGAACAGGAGTGGGGGAGCCTCCCCTGGGTTTGAGGGCCCTTGCCCTAGCCTTGAAGATGTGCTTCCAGAGAATCCATCTCCATCTGAGACAGAAGAAACAGAGTGACTACCTGGGAAGAAGTCTGAGTCAAAATCAGGGGGACTCATCTCTTCGTATTCAAATGAAGACGTAAGGAAAGGGAAATGATAAAAAGGAAGAAAGCAAGAAAGGGACCTGGAAATGATATTCTTGACCTACAACACTAAGTCATATAGCCATGAGTTCCATCTTTCTAAGGACTCCTCTTTCTGCTTCAGCCATACAATGTGTTGAGTTAAGTTACTCAGCATTGTGGGTAAAATGTGTCTGTGACAGGACTGTCCCTAAGGGCTTCTGTCCTCAGGACAGATCTAGCCTGAGGTTGTTCACATGTTCACGTATTGCAGGATCCTCTGGTTTCTGGATCAACACTGAACCAGTTGGAACGTTTTTCCTACCTCACAGCTGCAGTAACAAGAACAAACCAACAACCCCCAAGTGCAAGAAGACAAAAAACAACGACTCTTCTTAGATCCACTCACAGCTGAGGTCCCAGGACCAGTCTCAGCGCTGGTACCAGGAGAAAAAGGAGCGCACAGACAATCACACTCGCCAGAATAAGGCAGTGATAGGCTCTAGAGCTGTTACGGAAGCATGGCTCAAGGCTCTGTGTGCTACCACTGGACAGTTACAACTCCCTAGTTGGTGGAGCCCACAGGTTTGTGAGTTGTACCTTCGGAATCTCTGCTAGGCTGCCCCTGTGAAGAACAGAGGGAAATCTTCTGGCTTTGCCAGCAGAGGGGGGGGAAAGCAATCACTCTAGAATAGTCTGAGGCTACCTTTCCACAGTGCTAGAGGCCAAGGGGATCTGTGACCAGGAGACTGAAGGAGGGAAGTCAGGAAGAGGGGACAGCAGACTTCCCACTGGAGATGCAGGGGTGAGTCTGGACTCTCCAACAATGCACGTCCTGGAGACATTAAATCGCAATGTGTCTTGCATATTTGGAAATCGAGGCATGGTACTGAAAGTCCTTCCGTCTCACCTGAGAGTGGAATGAGAAGATGCCCTAAAGCTTCAGAGAACCTTTGATATTTAAGGCTGAGAAGGAGAAGGGGAGCCTTTCAAGGGCACAGAGATGGGGCAGCCAGTGCAGGTGGGACGCAACCAGGGAAGAATGATCTCCAGGAAGTGTGGCAGAAGGGAAGATTCAGAATTTCCCAAGAGGAACCTCTGGCAGGAATTTATCCCATGGGCTACAGGACTGTGCCCTGCATCTGGATTCTGCTTCCACCTCGTTGTTTGATCGTGAAAACCTCACTTGAATGCTCTGTAGCTCAGTCTCCGCAGATGTAAAGTGAGGTGGAAATATTCCTAGAGCTGTTGTGATAATGAAGTGGCCCATTTCAAAGCATCTAGTATCTTCCACTGAGTGAGAGTTTAACAGAGGGGATTATATTCTTATGTTTTCCCTAAAAAAAGTTATCTTCTCTTAGCATTTTCCATATAACTGACTGCAAAGGGCTGATCCTCAAAAATATCATTGTGAAAAAAAATAAAATAAAATACCCATTGGGAACGGGTGTCCTATCCATTGAATGTAATTAGATACAAAATAAAGTAATATGTATACAGATACTGTACCTATGTCGCATACTCTATATGTTCTAGTACAGCACGTTTCCCCTTTCTCCATGCCCACTGAGATCCCATCCTTTCACTCTCCAATCACAGTGTTTCCCCCTCCCTCAGTGTAGAAACCTCCTGTGAGCTCCCCTCCTTCCTCCCTCCTCAGGATCCTCCCCTGCCCATTCACACAGCTGCTTCCTTTTCCTTTGTGGTTTCTGTCTGGCCCTTTTACTTCCAATTACAAAGCCACAAAGAAAAACACAAGTTGTTTGAAATTTCCAGGTTTTTTCGAAACTCTGCTAGCAGTAGCCTTGCTGTTTTCTTTTCTCCTGGTGACTATTGTTGACCTGAGGGAATGTCCCCACTGTGGTGATGTCACAGTGGCAGGAGCAGAGAGGAGATAGGAGCAGCAGGCTGCTGTTCTGTGGCCTGTCACAGTCTTTACAGGGGAGCTGCCAGCGAGGGGGCAAGGTGGGCTAGACAGTGACCAGGTGTGCACACGGGCTCATGTTGTATGTAGAAGTCTGTCCCCTGGTGGGAGATTCTCCTCCAGAGCAAGCAAACAAACACAAACAAACAAATAAAAACTTTCCTGGAATGAACGGACTCTGCTAGTGTTAAAGCCATGAACTTCAACAAAAATACCTTTTTTTTTTTTTTTTTAAACTAAAACAGCAGATAGGTTCCTGGTAAAAGTGAGCAGAAGGTCCAGAGTTTTTCCCCATCCTTCCTGCTTTGGAGCTTCAAGGTCTCTCCCACATTTCAGCATCCCCCCACCTGAGGGAAATTGTTCCAATTGCTTCCAACAATGTAACAAGTAGTTGTTAGGGTTGGGAACAAGGCTTCAACATGCCATGGGCTGTCTTGTGGACATTGCTCGTGTTTGAGCCTTGTTTTGATGCGGGCTTTGGAAATCAAATAAAATAGATTTTACATAATCATTTAATTCTTCAAAATGTATTCATCGAATCAGGAATTCTATCTGGTACTAAATAGAGAAAATATTTTGAGAATAACTTGATGACTGTCTAGCATCAAGTGAAATTAAAAATCATTTTCTCATTGAGGCCATACTAAAATACAGTACAGAAAAAACATCCAATAAATGTTTGAAAATTCATTGGCTGTTTTCAATTTGGAATGATTCTCAGTATCTAGGGACACTG